ATCTTCCCTGCTATTCCTGTTCTTCCAGGCTGTTGTCAAGTTCATAATTATCATTGCACATCATAAGTCATAACTGACATTAACATTAACTTGTCTAACATGAAATATTAATTGTTTGTTTTTTTAAATAAAATAAAATAACACACTTAATAAAACAGTAACATGTAAAATCAATACCTTCTTTTAGCTGGAAACCTCCACTAAAGTATTGCAGTAAGTTGATTCCAAGCAAAGCTTGGTAAAAAAACAAATTGCTTCTTCGAGAAGCTGCAGATCTGCATCTGAGCATGCGCGACCACACCCAAATTTTGGAGCACATGGCAAGCTTCTTTAATTAACAAAATGGCGGCATGTAGCTAAGATGGCTCGATCCAGCAGTCACAGTATCACTTTTTCCTTACTTGAAGAATGATCTGATGGGACATGGACCTGCGCATAGACTGTTGGAGTAGATTGGTGTAAGAATTATTCTTGTAGCACCGACTGATACTGAGATACACACCGACAACTGGATTGACAGGACTTGATTATGAAGATGAAGATGAAAAAAGGTGGCTGAACAAAACGGCCGGTTCGCCGATTTTTGACTTTCGCTTAGACAAGGTCTAGAGCCACGCTAGTTGTACCATTGGAGTCCTCTGGTCAAGATAAGGTCCTCTATAAAGTCTGGTAAGCATAGGAGCTCGTTTTCCCGGTATAGCAAGGCTGCAAAAGTCGTGGCAGCCATTTTGTTTGGGGGTGAATCCTACTTAGTAACGCTACCGCGTTACTAATATCACTTAAGTTTTACAGAATAGCCATTTTAAAGATGCTGCTCACCCTCTCTGAATTAATTCTTTCTTAACAACATAACATAAATATACATGTACTTATGCTGCATAGAAGATTATGACCAAAATTGTTTTTAAAGTTCCTCAGAAATTATGACCAAAAACCATACAGGGTATTTTGTCAAAAAATGGCTGGGAAAAAATTCTCCATCTTTATAACTTTTTGATGCATATAAATGTTCGTATGTTATGTGGCATG